CATAAGCACAATCAAACAACGACAATCATTTCATCAACATACGTAAAGCTTGTAATTCTTGAACACACACGTAAGGCGTAGAATTTACCCCCTTTACACTCACCTTGTAAAGATGACTCCTCGATTCCTTACTCGAAGAAATCCCTCCTAGCCGAATTATCTCGGTGAACCTATTAATAAGAATGCCATCTCCTTAGTCGACCTTTCTGGATTTAGAATTCCCTTTTGGGTCACTAGAACATCCTCTCCTCAACATCCAGCCCTCGAGACTCGGTCCCAAGGTCCCTTAACCCCCTTTAAAAATTTTCTAGAAACAATCCCTTCAAAACCAACCACTTTTCCTAATTATTTTAGTCTTGGACGAATTTTCCACCTAACTTGAACCTTCTTACAAATTCGGCTAATACTTTTCATACATCAACCATGAGTACTTATACCCTTGAAAATTATCAAACCCTTATAAAATCCTAGGAAATATTTTTATTTAATTAAAACGAATGTTCGAACAATTTCTAAAATTAAAAATACATTTTTTAAAATCCCCAAATTAAATTACAGACATCTCCTAGACCTCCCTCAATTTATAAAAATTTTAAACTCAAGAAAAAAACCCCATAAAGACTCGAAACAATTTAAACCATCTAAAACAAATTTCTGAAAATTCCCAGCAGCTTTAGTGACCATCCAAATCCTGTCACTAAAAGTCTGAACGTCTGTTGCTAAAACCTCAGAATTGCACCCTCACGAAAAATCCCCAAATTAAACGACTTAACTCAAAGGGATCGAGCTCCCTTACCACTAAAACGTGCGTAGGCCTAGGTTGGATGACCCGGGACGTTGATCTCCTCGTTGATCGATCTCTCAACGTCACCGCTAATCAAAACCCGAGCTTCGAATGAGTCTAACGATGAATCAAGTTTAGAAACCACGAAAGGGTTCGTGATCCTTACCTAGAAACACGAAAGGGACGAGTTGGGAAATCGGGACGGGGATCGGGGTCGAGATCGGGAGCCGGAATCAACTCCTTCTTCTTCTCCTCTCGCCCGCGCGGGGCTAGGGATTGGGTGGCGGTGATTTTTTTTTTCCTCCCGGGGAAGTTGAGAGGGCGGCGGTTTATTGTTTGGGGACGGGAATAAGTGGAGTCGGTCGGGTTTTGGGAATAAGTGGAGGGGCCGCTCAGCCCCAGGTCTGAAATCTACATATAATTTTTTTTAATAATAATAATAATTATTATTATTATTATTATTATTATTAGTATTATTATTAATCCGCGATTGCAACTGTCAACCCAACCGATCATGAATAAAGGTCGAACCTAAACCCAAAGGTCGGATTGTTACAATCATGGACATGGTTTTTTCCATAGTAACTTTTCAATTAAACTCATCGCTTTTTTGGGTAATGATTGGGCTCGCTCTTCGATTTCTCGTAGGCTGATTATTGGATATTTTTTCTTCTTAGGAGACTCAGCTATTACTTGAAGAAATAGAAGAAACAACCCGGTGGTTCTCATTCCTAAGCCGAACACCGTGCAATGGCATATTTAACATGTGAATGATCAGTGGCTTCATTACATTTTTAAAGATCTTGAAGTTCATTTTACATCTCTAAGCATTTTATTCGATGAGAATCATCTATAAGCACTCATTTTACTTATTATAGAATACGGTGTTTTGTACTACATGAGCCAATTCAAATAACTCACTGTGAGTTATTTAAAATACCTACCCACCCATTAGTTAGTTCAAATTACTAATCTCTCAATCTATTTTTTTACTCAATTCCTTCTTTAAGTGGTGAAATAATATAATTATTAAATGTATTATCCAAACAAAACAATTAACCATACCACAACATTCTAAACTGAAATACCACATGAAATGTCACATAACAAAATAATACAACATTTTAATACGAAATACCACATTCTAAACTGAAATACCACCCTCCTTGGAAGCGACCTTGTCCTTAAGGTTGCAGTCAACTTCCATCTTCTTGATCTTCCGCTTTCTACGCTTCCAATTTCGCTCCATCTTATGACCGAACCTCGTTCCAGCAACTTCGACTTTCTTCGACTCTTCTTCTGCCATGGGACATCCATCACCTTGTTTCCAGCCATATAGTTATTGCTCTTCTCTTTTGAAGTCCACAAAATAAGAGTTAGAGAACTCTCTTCTATGTGAACTTGGGCTAAACTCTTTTAAAAGTTCATCAGCTAAACTTTTAGACTCCAAGCCCACCTTCTTCCACACCCAAACTATGTTGGGCTCAATCTCCCTCAAAGAACTCGGCCCACCTTGCTGATTCAGCCATACTTGAACGAGCCCAGCAAATGCTAGCTCTCGGCCCACTCGCTCCATCCCATCTAATAAGACGGCCCAAAAGTCTCGGCCCAAAGAGGACCCAGCAAACATAACCACAGCCCGGCCCAATTGTAAAAGTTGTTGCTGATGGGTTGTTCGGCCCAAGGTGGCTGACGTAGTGATCATGAGAGGAGAGACGTAGTCTCCGCCCTCCATCATCTACAAACCCTTCTCAGGCGGCCGCCTCTTCAATTCGTCCTCTAGCGGTTCCAACCTCGTCGTCGGCTTCCCCGACCTCGCCGCCGTCAAGCTCCGTCAAAACCTTCTCCCCGAGCGCAAAGTTCTCCGCCTTCGTCGTTCCTCTGTCCGGCACTGAGTAGAGGATTCCACCGCCGCGTTTCTTCTTCTTACTATTCCCTGCCGGTGGTGGCTCTTCCTTTATCTCGAACTTCAGCTCGTTCTCCGACAGTGCGCGCTCCCTCTGACTGCTAGGCGGCTAGTCCGAATCCGCCTCATTCGTCGGCGACGTTTGCGGCGGCATATCCTCACCACCTGACGCCGCCACGAACGCGTCCCTTAGTCGCGCGCCCACCTCTTCACCGCGTAGAAAGATGATGAAGATCGCGGTGTTCTTCGCGATTCCGGCTCCTGCGATTCCTTCTTCGTCCTCGCCCTCAATGGAGCCGCCGGCGATCGTCTCCCCATCTTCTTCTCCTTCATTGTTGTCTCGACCTTCACAGCGGTGGTGATTGGTGGTGTCAGCGTGTCTTTTGTGGCCGACGAATCTGTCGCCATAATCACATGTGGCGTTGTTCCACTTCACTCGAGCTCGATTGGAAATGCAGATTGTTCCAACCAATCTTCGAAATCCATATCTGCGATCAACGGTTTGATTACGGTGCAAGCTGCGGCTGGAGGTGTGATCGGACTCCTCTCCGTTCTCGCCGCTTTCAACTTCATCATAAGAGCTTTGGTGAGTTTGTCGATTGAGAGCCCTTCGAATCTCGACATGGCTCCGGTATGAGTGCCTGCAACCACGGCTCTGATACCACTGAAAGAACCCTCTTGTTAGGGATTCTCGATACCGATCTTCGGCACCCGTAACTACTCGTAACGAATAGGGATATAGGGTTGAGATTAGGGATTTAGATGAGAAAGAATAGAATTGGGAATCGGTCGAGGCCTTGGATTAGGAGAGGATAGAAATTAGAAGCTGAGAAGATAAACTACGATTTAGGAGATTCTTCTTAATATTCTTCTTGAATGATTATGACGTAAACCCAAAGTACATATTTATAGGGAATCAAAACCCTAATAAACTAATCCTAACCTAATTGGCCTACGTTAGCCGCCTAACCCTATTTAACTAACATTATTAATTATTATGATTCTACTAATTATATGTCTAACACTCGAACCACTAGTGGGATCAAGTTAGAGAGCCTCGATCGACTTTCTAAGGTTGTGGATCGAGTCTGATGGCCTCGGTTCACTACCTGAGGTAGTGGATCGAGTCCATTGAACTCGAACCACTGCGTTGAAATTTCCAGTAGCCTTAACTTTGTGTTCAGTTATCCGGTCATAGTGACAAAATGTTTTATTCCGCATAACTTTTCGAGTACTACAACTTTTTTCATAGAAATATTTTCAGAATGTGTTTAGAAGTGAAAAGTAAATCTAATCTTATTCTCAAAACCCCTTATATCCAAAAAGATTTCCTATTTTGAAAATTTCATCCTAGTAAAAGTTGTAGGACTAATAAATTTATGCAAAATCAAAACAAACTTTGCGAATATCGGACTACGGAGCACAAAGTTATGATCGTCCAAAGTTTGGCAAAAATTAAAAAATTGGTTGTTTGGAGTAGCAAATGACATTTTTCCGATTTTTTCAAACTTTAAACGATCATAACTTTGTGCTCCATAATCCTATTGTAGTGAATTTTTTTTATTTTGCATAAGTTTTTGAATACTACCACTTTTACTAAGGAAGAAATTTTCAAAATAAGAAATCTTTTTGGATATAAGGGGTTTTGAGAATAAGGTTAGCTTTACTTTTTACATTTACACATACATTGTGAAAATATTTCTATGTTAAAAGTTGTAGTACTCGAAAAGTTATGCTGAATCAAACAAAATTTCATTATGATCGGATAACCGAGCACAAAGTTAAGACTATTGAAAATTTCAACACAGTGGATCGAGGCCATCAGACTCAATCCACTACCTCAGAAAGTCGATCGAGGCTCTCTAACTCGATCCGACTAGTGATTCGAGTCCATTGAACTCGAACCACTCCAAACTTAAGTATTTTGGGGGGGGAAATTATAAGTGTTGTATTTTTTAAAAAAATTTAATTATTACTGTATTTGGGGAAAAGACTCAAAAGGAAAAGATATAGGTGCCTTAGCTTGAATGAACTCAGCTTGCTTATCCCATATCTCTATATATCTATCTTTCGTTTCGTTTGTTCTCAAGCTCCACCTCCACCTGGACCTGCTGTAGTAACGGCTTGGCTCCCCTTATGATTGTATTTTGGCTCTCTTCCTCTTTCTTTTTCGTTCTCTTTCCTTCACCCTCTTTCCTTCTCTAGCCTTTTAATAAACACCTCTTTCTTCACTTCTTCTCCGCCGCGCCTCCTCCAACTCTTCATCCTCCACCAAAAAAAAAAACCCTTCTTGATTGTTTCAGTCCATACATGTCGATACAAGTAGCGACCGCCGAGGGTGCTGATCTCCTCTGGGGGAATCAAAAGTGGGTTTCCACGAATCCAAGTCGTGCTCCTAGCCATAGTACTGATGATCAAGAGAAATTATCCGAGAAAACTACTACCCCGATTCTGCCAATGACCAACACAGAAACCAAAAAAGGTACCGCCGCCACCATCGGCAAGAAGCGAGAGAGGGGAGAGGCGAAGAAAACCGGCAAAGGAAAGGGACCCAAATGCAAAGAAGGAAAACCCATCTGCGAATCAGACCATGGGGTGCACATTTGGACAGAGCGGGAAAGGAGGAAGAAGATGAGGAACATGTTCGCCAACCTTCATTCCTTGCTCCCTCAACTTCCCCCTAAGGTATACCTATAATTAATTCATTACCACTTATCGTGTACATTTTGTTGTTCATTCATTCATTCATCTTTGTCACCCAAATTGGACCAATAAATGAAACATACAAAAGTTCGTTTCTTTTTTTAGCATTACATGTCGTGTACATGTTTTTTTTAACAAAATGTAATCTTATATTGATTCAAAAAAAGATAGTTACATCCTGGAGTTCAGCCAGATCTGAAAATCAAAGAAACGACTCATAATCGGATACAATGTCAGAGTCTTTCTAGCCACCAAATGAGCTACCCTATTGCTACGCATTACCCTTGTTACTTGGGTCTTAAAAATCCCATATCACATGCAACTAGTTGAATTTTGAGTCTGACAGGCTGACAAATCCAGCATAGTGGACGAAGCAGTGAGCTACATCAAAACCTTACAGCAAACCCTTCACAAGCTTCAGCGACAGAAGCTGCAAAAGCTCCAACAGCCGCCGGCAACCACGGCTGGCGACGACGACATGATGATGATGATGTGTGACAACAATGTTAGTGCCGCTAATTGTTGTGGCAATAATGCAGCCGCGGTGTTCCATACTTGGACCTCCACCAACCTTGTCCTTAACATCTGCGGCGACGAGGCACAGTTCAACATCTGCTCCCCGCCGCCGCCAGCCGCCAGCGGCACCATCTTCACCGCCGCCTGCTATGTGCTGGAGAAGCATGGCATCGAGGTTCTCTCGGCTCATGTCTCTTCCAATTCTGATCGGCGGCTGCTCATGATTCAAGCGCGTCATAATCGTTCTGTGAGTGCATTTATATGTAATTGAACTTTATTTTTTCCATTTAGTTTATACTAAATTATTTCAGTCTACAACTTTATACAAAAAACAACTGTTGGTGACAAGAATTGTTGAACAGTGTTGCATAAGACCTCATACTCAGCTGGCAAAGTACAGCTAATATGAATTTAAGAGCTAATTCATGATAAAAAAAAAAGTTAATTCGAGTCGTTGGAAAATATGAACACGAGACTTTCGTATGTAATTTCCTTTAGCGGTTAGCTATTTGCATGCCTTCCATTACAGAAGATGTGAGTTGGTGAGTGTGCTTTTTTATGTTGTACACATAATTAATGCTGCATGCCTAGCTTAATGCTAACTGATTGATGAACCTTTTTTTTATCTGTTACAAGTTAATTAGTTAAATTTTCTTACATAAATTACCGCTCTTCTCTTCTCTCTAATCGTTGAATTAGTTTCACTCTGACACTAGAGGTGGAAAGTTAAGATTTAAGAAAGAAAAAGTGTTAACTGTAAACAGAGGGGCGAAAGGATGGTAACTTATGAAGGGTGAAGTAGACAAACTTTATTAATTCTTTTGTAATGAACTTCATGAGTTTTTATCTGAAATCTTTTCTTTTGGTTGCCAATTACTAATTAATTAAACCAACATGATTTGTAATTAAGCAGGAGAATAATGGAGGTGGCCGTGACCATGTTTTGGGAGCAGATGATCAGGAAAATGTTGTTGCAGAGATATTCAAACAGGCAGCAGCTGAGATGCTTACTTACCTCTGTTCTTCACCCAATTAGTGATTATTAATTAATTCAGTTATACCACCCAATTTTTAGGGTTTCATATAATTAGTGTCTTCATTACTCTTTTTGGTGTCCAATGTTACTTTGGGTTTGCTCTATCTATTTTGGGGTGTTTCTGCCAAACAACTTTGTCATATAGATATTTGGGTTTTGTTCTGTACAGGAGAAGCATGGATCCATCTCCTTCATTTATTATGCACATGTATGTGTGTTTTGTAGGTTTGATTGCGTCCCGTTGGATCCGTTAGCTTTATCTATTTAATGAATACATAAAACGAATATCCATTTTGGTTCATTTGATAAGGGCACTTCCCATTAGGATGGTTATCCGATGGTTCGGGCAATTTTCGTCACTTAAATCCACTCAACCATACAAGAATGAATTGGGTAAAAGATGACCCATCCAGTGGCGGATCCAGAAATTCTACGTAGGGGTGTCCTCTATAAAAAATTATATTAAATATTAGAATTAAATTAAATAATTATTAAATATGAAAATATCTAACTAATAAAGTTTCATTAAAAGTTCAGACGTGTTTCATCAAATGATAAAATGCATTCGGTGTTTATACTGCTCAACAAATATCTCTCGACATATCTTACTAGACTAGGATATCCCGTAATTGAGTTTAATCGTTAGGTTTTGAAAATAATTTGAGATAAGAATAATATTTTACTATTATATTTGGATCTAAAACACAATAACAAATGAGTTGTAGCGTAATTGAAAATATATTAACTAATAGTGGCAGTGTCCCAAATTTAAATCACATAAACTACTACTTAAATATTATTTATACCAATACTCAAACTACTACGGGAGATTGGATAATCATTTTCCCAAATTTTAAAGGTGTCCCACTACCACTTAAATATTTTTTTTCTCATACGCAAATTACTATCATAGGTTGAATAATCGTGTTTCCAAATTTTAGGGGTGTCCCGGGACACCCCTAACCATGCATGTATCCGCCACTGGACCCACCATATATCCACCCACATAGATGAGTGAATTGGATGGGTGGATTCGAACATAATGAATAGCATCTTCGATCTGGAAGAGCTCATTTTGTACATGTGACGAAAAGTTTATATTCTAAGTTTTTATGATCACTTGCCCAACATTATTAATGGCTAACTGGTGGATCAAGCTCCACACATATATCTTGGGGGTAAGAAACCCCTAATCTAGATTTAGAGAATTGTGAATTGTAATGGACGATCTGTTGAGTTTCTAGTCTATTAAGTCTACATATATAATTGAGTTTAAATGCTTGCCCATGCCTTAATTTGTGTGTGGGTGATGATTTAAAGCTTGATTTATGAAGTTGGCTATCCAATTAGGTCAAAATTAGCGCTGAAATCAAGTATAACAACTACTCAACTAGGTAATTGAATAATTGTTGAATTACTTAGTTGTGTGATTCTGGACTTGCCCTAATTTACAAGTACCGTACATATCTCTAGCTATGATGGTCAATTGCATTATCATTAAGTTGGTCACCACAGCTAGCAGGGAAATTGGGTGCATTACCATTAATCCAATTACCTCTTTATAGATTGTTGCACCTTAATTACTATAAATGAAACAATTATAAATGAGCTAAGTTGCCGAAGGTAACACAGCCGAGTTGGTCGGGAGTGTGGTCTTTCGGGCTTGAGAAGTGTGAGGTCTCAGGTTTGAACCCCGCTACACCACTTGGTGTTCCCGGAGGCACCGAGAGTGCTGGAGACGAAGTCTCCTCCTAGTATCGGATGCTAGGCCTTGAAATGTTGCTGATGCAGGTACTCCCCAGGTTTAGTAGACAACGCTGCCACAAAGTGGCATGTGGGGTTGAGATTCCTGGGTAATAAAAAAAAAAGAGCTAAGTTAGGTGGACAACATTAGTAAGTTTTATAGCAATTTGAAGGTTGTTAGTTGAAAGGGATGGCCGGTTCCCGTGGAATACAACCTTAGTAAAGGGTCACTGCTATACTTTAATGTCAATCTATGTTATAGTAGTCTAAGATTGGGTTTGCAAGTACAAGGTACCAACCAAATTTCTCTTGTAGTATAATTTGGTTCAATTTTTTATTCATTGATATAAATCAAGTATCAAATCTTTTCACATTTTACTAGTAATCACTTCCTTTATTCACTAGCTTACTTTTGTCAAATCAAATCCAAAATTTACAAAATCCATACTATTAGTTCGTTTACTCAATTAAGCAACCTTGCCTAGTAATAGAGCACAAGCTAGCTAACCAATGGCCATGCATCAAATCTCAAACTAGAAATGAGATTTACATATCCATTCAACATAGTACAGGTGCTCCTTGCCAAGGGTTATATGAGTTAGGTCGAAGAAGAGGAAACCCACAACTTTGATACTAAGGGTGAAGGAAGTTTCATTCCATTAATGCCTAACGAAAAACCTTCTCAAATGATTCCCTAAACCTCTAAGAAGATAATCAAATCCTCTATTGTGAAAATCTATAGGAGTCCCAACGACAAAATACAACATGAGCAACCTCAAGTTCAACAACAGTAACAACGAGGTGTTCGATATAAAAGGCCAACACTTCAAGTAGCACTGGTTGAGCACCCCTTCTTCGATGTCATCCCCACTCAACATGTGGGAAGTTATACTCAGATCTGAGACTATTCGACAGGCAAAAGCAAATGCCTATCTTGGACTCTCTTTTGCCAATTAGGAGTCGATGAGACTATGCGAGAGAGTATAGGGAAGTACAAGTAGATCATTCTCTTAGAGATAGAGGAGCCAATCTATTGTCACTACAACAAATTCGGCCTATTATGACGAAGCAATTTTGTCATATTAGATACTGATTTTGTCATATTAGGTATAATATGACAAAAGGTGTTGTCACAAATGTTTGTCATTTTATCGCCGTCAAGATAGGTCAAATGTGACAAAAATTTAAAACAAGGTTGTCACATTTGATTTCAGTATAGCTGAGGTTTTGGGTAATCTATTGTGACAAACAGAGATGTTATGACGACATATTTTGTCATTACGATTGTCATAATCTGGTGATTTGGGGAGAATTGTTCGTCACATTACATGACTATATTTTGTCATAACTGTATATTGTCACGACTGCAGCTGTCACAAGTGTGTATTGTGACAACATTATTTTGTCATAGCTGAATATAATAATTAATATATTTTTGCTTCCAAAATTTCATAATCCGAAATTGTTTTCTGCATTAGAACCTGATAATGGAAAGATTACCAAAAACCCTAAACATTACAACCATTTCCATAGCAGTCTAACCTGCCACTCTCGTACAACAATTAACAAGAGCAGTGGCAAATTACATTACAGCCTCCAATCTATTGAACACAGACAAATAAGGGAAAGACTAGATCGAGGATGTTGGGATTGGCTTCCCGGTCACTGTCATCGAGGATTTAGATCTTGAACCTCGCTCTAGCTCGTCGTCTCTGGTCTAGAGGAGGGACTAGAGGAATGGCCGATTTTACCCACCGCTGTTACTGGCCAGTATTGTCGCCAACGATTCCTTTTCCAACTTTCCTCTCCTCGTATGAAACCTCCACCAAAAAACCCAGAACACAAAATAAAACGATTAGAAACCTAAAACACCCCCAAAACAAGTACCGAGAATAAATAGATGCATTAACCTTACCTCTGTAGCCAGCATCATCGGCGTCAGTCTGCTCCGTCGGCCTCGTGTTCCTTTCTTCTTCCTCCTCGTCATAACCAAACAGAGAAAAGGCGAAGCTAGATCTAGAGAGGGGAAAGGGGATTTTGATTTTTGTTTATCGCAAAGAGGCAGCGACAGATCGAGAAAGCTAGGGTTTCAGATTTCGATTTTTTTTTAAATCTTCCAAGTAGAGAGAACGATAGGGAGAGGTGAGGTTGATTGACCTTCAATGCACTGACATCGTCATTGCCATCTCTGTCGGCATTCATCGCCGTCGTGCCCTTCGATGCCGCCGCCCTTTCGTCTCTCTTTAGTTTCATCTTTGAATGAAGAGAAGGGAGGGAGATTAGGTTAGATTGAGAAATCAAAGAGGCAGATTGAGTCTTTTTTTTAGAAGAGATGGAGAGGGGGGAAGTATCTTTGCTCGATCTGAAAAGGGGATGGAAAGAATAGATCGAAGAGAAGTAGAGAAGGAAAGAATAGATAGAAGTTTGCTTTTTTCTAGAGAAAATGAAGAGAGAATCGAGAGAAGTGAGAGGCCGAGCGGCAGAGATGTTAAGAGGAAAATGGTTAGGGTTTTTTTGCTAGAGTTTAAGAGATGTTTATATACCTGTGGTCGTATAAAGCATGTATTATATTTGTATAACACATTTAACATCCGTATTTCATGAATTAAATTGTAACTTAAATATTATATAGATATTTATTTATTTTTAAATAATTGAATATATACTTTTTATGTTAACATTTACAGACCAAAGCCGAAACAACTATATTATGACGAACATGCCCTTTTGTCAGCTCGTCGTGGAACTATTGATATCTATTGTAATAAAATACTTTGTCATTTAAACAATTCAGGAAGGCATAATATGACAAACGCTACTCTGACGATATAATTTGTCACTTTTGTGTCTCTTACATCCCTATATGGGATGCCTATTTTGATAAACTTAATTGTGAAACAAAATATTTGTCACATTACTCACTTTAAATGACAAAATATTCTGACAACAGGAAATTGTCACTGTTGAGTCTCTTACATCTCGATATGGGACGCCTATTTTGACAAAATTAATTGCGACACGATAAATTTGTCACATTACTCACTTTAAATGACGACTTATTCTGACCAATTTTAATTTTGTCACATTAGGCAAACCAAATATGACATATATCATTTTAGTCATATCACCGTACCTATTGTGACAAACAGAAAATGACAAAATAATTTTTTTGTCCTAATAAGCCGAATTTGTTGTAGTGTGTGTTCTATTGATCAAGTTCATGAACACCATAGAGATAAAGTCTTTTCGAGCCACCTCCAACGAACTCCCAACATTTCATTTCAAATCTGTTGTGTGCAGCAAGCTATGACGATCTTGGATTTCATAAGGAATCTAGACATATATCTGTGGGGATCTCATTTGTGATGCATTAGGTCTTCGAATATAGACTATCATGTGTTCGCAGTTACACATCTACCATGCATGACTAGCTGAGGTAATCGACCAAGAGTGATGAATCATAAGAGTGAACTCAAGTTCTACCATGCATGACTAGCCGAGGTAATCGACCAAGAGTGATGAATCATAAGAGTGAACTCAAGTTCTACATATTATTACTAAACAAAAGTCTGAATACACATATGTTCTACCCCCTAAACAACATGGGATGTTTAAAGAGAGTGCACCACATGGTTGCTCCTGTTATCTCATATGAGGCTAAACTACTAAATTTTCATATCATGGAATATGTCGCAGTTCACCGGTTAATGGATATACTTTTGACCTTTGGAATTCCGTATGCCTTTACAAATCCCTTATTTATTTTAAGCCCCCTAAGTCTAAAGTACGAAGAATATGTATGATGTACAAGGATTTTTTTACTTCATATTCGACTTTGAACTTCTTTTCCTTAGATTGTAAAGCAAGAAAAAACTTGTAGAGTTGTGGCGGGGTTGGAGAAGGTCTTCAGACATTGTGGTCATCACGTAGTCATAATGGGTTGAAATATGGTATGCACATCTCTTACGGACTCTTGGGCTTCTAGTCCAAAACTCAACTCTTTTGGGTCACACTGGATAGATAAACGGCTTGGGTTGTCGTGTGTCTTCTTGCATCTACACGCTTGCGCTTTACTCCAAATCTATTCTGGATATCAATCTTGGCCATCTTGTACCAAAAACCACCAAAGACTACTGTCACGGACTAACTCTTGGCTATGCGGCACTTAGCACTCAAGTCTCGTTAGAGCGCTAAGTCAGCCTAGCTTGCAATCACTCAAACTCACAATTGTGGAGGAACTCTATAGACGGAAACCTCTCTATTTCTGGATGAATGAAAAATGAGGGAGAGGGGAACTTATATAGGCATCCTCTCCACTAAGTACAATGTATGTGGTCGTCATAAATGAACGAACCTAGAAGTCCCCCCATACATGAATGATAGTAAATAAGGTGAATGCATGAGCACTCGGACATGAATAGTAATAAATGAGGGGGATGTGTATACATTGGAACATGAATCTAGAGATGCATGCATATACCTACACCATTCTAGAATCTTCCTTGTTACATTATCCCCCACTCAAACGCGCGATGCCCTCATCGCAGACTCCACATGAAATGCCGCGATCAAGTCTTTGTGACGCCATAGCGAAAGCTCCTTTTCCCAAGTGATGTCTCTTTCTAGACGCCCCTTCCACTTGACAAGGTACTCCACATAGCTTGGGTGAACGCCACGCCTAGGCACAACACGATGAGCCATGCCCTCCTCCACTTCGTGCTCATGTTTTGTGGTGACGAGAGTTGGTGCCCTCTTCCTCATCCCATCTTCCTCGTCTTCATGATAAGGCTTCAATTGACTAACATGGAAGACAGGGTGAATCTCCAAGTGCGTTGGCAATTCAACTTTGTACGCCACTGTGTCAATCCTCTTTAGAATAGGATATGGTCCTTCATATCGTCGTAGCAACCTCTTGTGCACATTTTTTAGGTTCTTGAATCGATGAGGGAAGAGCTTCACCATCACCAAGTCTCCCTCATCGGATTCCAAGTGACACCGCTTCTTATATGCACACTTCTTCATCTTATTTATTGCTCGAACGAGATAAGACTTAGCCAGCTCCATCTTCTCATGCCATCCTCGTGCAAACTTGTAGGCAGAGGGACTGTTGCCTTTGTATCCCGCCATCACCGTATTAGGTGTCAACGATTGTGGCCCGGTAGCCAACTCGAACAGGCTCATGCTCGTGGCTTCCCTTCGGTGTAAGTTGCAGGAGAATCGGGCTACATTCAATAGCTTCACCCAATCCTTCTGGTTGGCACTCACATAATGCCTCAAGTAGACTTCCACCAAAGCATTGACCGGCTGGGTTTGCCCATCCGTTTGAGGATGAAAACTCGTGGAGAAGTTTAGATCGGAGCCCATCATCTTGAACAAGTCACTCCAATACTTCACGACATGCTTGAAAAACAAGCGGGCTGCATCCTCTACATTCATATCTTTGGGCCCCGCGATGAATATTTCGTACTTTGAAAATCTGTCGACGACGACCATGATGGAAGCACACCCTTAGACTTTGAGAAGGACGATGAAAAAATTCATGCTAACACTTTCCCAAGGTCGTTGTGGAGTGGGTAATGGCTCCAACAAGCCTGCCAGACTCCGTTGCTCTATCTTGTTTTGCTAGCAGACAAGGAAAATCTTTGATGTAAAGTTCCATGTCTTGCATATGAGGCCAATGGTAAGCCTCTTCAACAAGAGCTTGTGTACGTTCGATGCTGGGGTGACCAACGCATTTTTAGTCATGACACTCTTTCATGATCTCCCTTCGTAGATTATCCCACCGCGGCATGAACACTGGCTCCCCCTTAGTCACGATGAACCCACCTTTGATCCAAAACCGTCGAGTCTTCCCTTGTTTGATGTACTCGACCACGGTTTTGGCGAAGGGGTCGTGACCAAGGCCTTCTTCAATTCCCTCCCTCAAGGGGAACTATGGCTGGCTGATGGAGGCAAGTGTGCTCTTTCGACTAAGAGCATCAGCAACAAACCTGGCTTTCCCCGGCTTGTACTCCAACACAAAATCAAACTCCGCGAGGAAATCTTGAAACCTTGCTTGCTTGGGGTTGAGCTTCTTCTGCGTGAGGAAGTAGCTCGTCGCCACGTTGTCCATCTTTTTCACGAACTTCAACCCGAGCAAGTAATGCCTCCATGTTCTCAAACAATGGACCACTGCCATCATCTTCTTTTTTTGCACCGCATATCTTCTTCGGGCTCATTAAGCTTGTGGCTCTCAAATGCAGTGGGGTGTCCCTCCTACATCAACACACCACCGATAGCAAAATTGGAAGCGTAAGTTTGTACCTCATACGACTTGGTGGGGTCGGGAAGTGCTAGCAATGGCTTGCTCATCACCGCATCTTTCAAAACCCCAAAAGCTTCATGGCACCGATTCGACCATTCCTAAGCCTTGTTCTTCTTTAGAAGATCCGTCAAAGTTGCTGTAAGAGTAGAGTATCCCTTGATGAATCTCCTATAATCGTTGGCCAGACCGAGGAATGATCACAACTCGGTGACCCTCAATGGTGGCTCACATCCTTGTCTCGCCCCGTCCATCTTGAATTTGCCTCCACCAATGATATGGCCGAGGAAAGGAACCTCCGCGGTGGAAAACATGCACTTCTTCTTCTTGACATATATCTAGTTGTCTTGAAGGAATTGGAATACTTTTCGTACGTGCTCGGCATGTTCATCGAGTGTGTTGATGTACACTACGATGTCATCCAAATACACCACGACGAAGCGATCCAAGAACGGCTCGAATACTTGATTCATTGGAGTGCAAAAAGTAGCATGAGCATTGGTTACACCAAAAGGTATAACTAAGAACTCGTATGAGCTATACCTCGTCATGCAAGCAGTCTTCACTTCGTCCCCCTTGGCTATCTTCACTTGATAGTACCCCGAGCGAAGGTCAAGCTTCGTGAACCACTTTGCTTCTCCAAGTTGAACAAATAAGTTGGCAATGTTGGGGATTGGCCACTTGTTCTTCACCGTGAGCTTGTTAATAGCTCGATAGTCAATGCACATCCGCAACGAACCATCCTTCTTCTTTTGGAACAACACGAGTGCTCCATAGGGGGATTTTGATGATTGCATGAAGCCAGCATCCATCAACTCCTTTAGTTGCTTCCTCAATTCCTCCAACTCGGGAGGGGCCATACGATAAGGTGACCTCGCTGGTGGCGTTGCTCCCGGATCAAGCTCAATGTTGTGATCGACTTCTTTTCTTGGCGGGAGCTTCTTTGGCAACT